TTCAACTTTGAATCAAGATCTTCTTAAAGTTATATTTTTAATACCCTGTAAAAATTTATAAAAAAGAAGCATTAAATGCTCAAAAATATAAATCTCACTTTAAAAAAAAAATTTTCTTTTTATTTTTTTAAGTAAATCAAGATTAAATGAATTTTTTTCATAAATTTACATATAAAATTGAGGTACATCAAGTCATTTGATCTATAATTAAAACATTTTGAACCCCTGTAAGGTTATATGTCCTATGCCTGCTATATTTCCGTCTTAAGTAAATTTGTTTGGAAGAATAAAATACATATACAGTACTATGAAATTTTCATGTAATTTAGTTAATCTTTTATTAATTCGCTTTTGTACTTTACGTATTGGCGAACAAAAAGTAATTTTTGGTCGCAGAAGCGTAAAATGCAAAAGTGAATTATTAAAAGTTAACCAAATTACATGAAAATTTCATAGTATATGCATTTTATTCTCCGAACAACTTTACTTAAGACGCTAATATAGATTTACTTATTAAAATTTCGACTTATAAATATAGTTACGATTATCGATTAATTTAATTTAAATTTCATAATTACAAATAATATATACAACGATGTAGTGCTTGGATCTATTGTTGGATCATCCTAACTATTTTAATCAGATAGGCTAGGTCGGGCCAGGCCAGGCCTGGGCCTAATTTAAAATAAAGCCCGGGTCACATCTCTAGTCAGAAGGTTAACTCGCAGTTTGACCTGCAGGTTGGCCCGCGGGTTAACCCACGAGTTGACCCGCAGGTTGACCCACCTGTTCTTACCGGGTTGCTACAACTCAACCCGGGTCATAACACTAATCCCGACATTACAGCACAAGGATGGACAAGTAGAAACAAGAATATTGATGACAGTATGAGAGAATTTCTTTAAATATGAGAATATAATCGAATGGATTCCATTTAATAGATTATCAGATATTAAAGAAATTGGCAAAGAACTGTATATTTGGCAATCTGGTTAGATGGCATATAAAAAATTGAAGATAATGGATATAAGAGAGCACATGAATCATTCAGCATCGTTGCACTCAAGACCTTGCCCAGTTCTAAGGAAAACAATTTGAATATTTTGAAAGAAGTATGTTAATTTTGTCATTTGTAGAATGATCTATTATTATTAACTAATTCATTATAAACTTATTAAGTTTAAAAATCTTATGATATGTAATTTGAATTATGTTAAGCTTAAAATATTTGGAATAACCCAAGATACAAAAACAAATGAATACTTTGATGGTGATTCAGTATGCCGATGATGGAAATATTTAAGAAAAAATTTTAAAGAACTTAAATGGCAGGCTAAATTAAAATTACTTAAAGATATTTTCGATGAATTATGTAGTATTCACCTTTTGGCAGGATACATTCATGCAGATTTTCACAGTGGTAATATATTGCAAGACAAACATACCAAGCAATCTTATATCGCAGACTCAGAAAGAAGGATGAATTGGTTCAAAAGGTGATATTTATGGAGTCATGCCCTATGCTGCACCGGAAGTTTTATCAGGTCAACAAAAGTTTACACAAGAAGCAGATATTTATTGGTTTGGAGTTATTATGCCAGAAATATCAACCGGACAAAGGCCTTTTGATGGGCATGAATTTGATACTAAACTTGCAGTAAGTACTTGTAAGGAGAACGTCCAGAGTTTGCACCTGAAACACCCAATTGTTATGTTGAATTGGCAAAGCAGTGTATGGATTCTGATCCGCAAAAACGACCGAGTGCTTACGATATTAGGGAAAAAATGTATGAATGCTGGTGAAAATAGTCGGTTCAGATGAAGAAAATGAAATTAAAAAGCAATTTTAGAAGCAGACAAAGCTATATCACAGCATCCAGATGAAATGTACAATAGAAAATTATCAGAACAAAGCTAATTTCAAATGCGATTAAAGATATTTATACTATATATGGCATTATGTTATATTCATTTTTATTTAAGAATATTATTGTTTGTTATTTAGATTTGTCTAAAGTTGATACTTAAACAGTTAAAAATAACTTTTAATTGAATTATTTAAATATTTTACACTTCTCTATACTTATACCATTCTAATTTTAATTGTTACAAGATGTTTTCTTCGCTATTAGAATCTTGTTTATTTCAGTTTCAAGTTTAAAAAATTTTTATCAATTTTTTATATAATTTTTATTATTAAAACAAATGTATTAAATTAAATAAGATATACGTATTAAATAATTCGATAGAATTAAATATGTTAGGTAATAAAATTATAAGCAATTTTATTAGGGTCCGTATTATTTCACCGAAAATATAAAACTGGCTAAACCCTAACACTAAATCGGGCTAAAATGTCGGTGAAATGACACAGTCGGTAAAATAAGTGTCGATGAAATAAGTGCCACCCTTTTATTAATGCTTATGCCGTGAACGAAGTCACGAGATTAATGCCCAGATCAGTGACACATGAATAGTTATGTAGGTGGAGTTGGAATTACGTTATGACATTTGATATCATGGGTAAAAGGTTATAAGGGAAAAGGGAATGTTTTTTGTTATCCAGCTTTTGTCTTTGTTGCAAGCTCGACGCAAGTCTAGCTTTTCGTTAATCCCGCCTGTTAATGGAACAGATTTGATACCAAGGAAGAAGGGATGACTAGGAAAACTTGATAATCTGATTGAACAGATTGGCCATATGTGAAAAGGGTGACTAGATTGGACCCAGCTGAAAAGGTTGGATATTAAAGTAAAAAAAGGTGATCGGGGAAAACGGTAGAAAAACTTGATAGCCCGATGGAAAACTTGATAGTCCGATAGGATATCAAAGTGAAAGAGATGATCGGAAAAAATGCAAGACAAACTTGATAGCCCAACTGAAAAGAATGATCGGAAAAAAGGGTAGGAAAACTTGATAACTTTGATAGCTCAACTGAACAAGTTGGATATCAAAGTGAAAAGGATGATCGGAAAATGGGTAGGAAAACTTGATAGTTTTGATAGCCCAACTGAACGAGTTGAATATCAAAGTGAAGGAAAGAAACTTGATAGCCCAACTGAACAAGTTGATACCAAAGTGAAAGGGATTATCAGGAAAAAGGGTAGGGAAAACTTGATAGCTTTGATAGTTCAACTGAACAAATTGAATACCAAAGTATATCAAAGTGAGAGAGATGATCAGAAAACTTGATAGCCCAGCTGAACAAGTTGGATATCAAAGTAAGGAGATGAAAGAAGAAAGTAGAATTGACGTTATGACATTTGGGTAAGTATAAGGTCATGGGTAAAAAGTATATAAGCGAAAGAATTGGAATTTGGTTAGACCTCTTTTGTCTTTGCTGCAAGTTCGACGCTGTTGCAAGTTCGACGCTTCTGCAAGTTCGACGCAAGTCTAGCTCTTTGTTAATCCCTTCCACCCACCCGGGAAGGTCAGGCAGGTAAGAACATGGTAGCCCAGCTGGACAAGTTAGATACCAGAGGGTAGTGGGATGGCCCGGATGAACAGTCCAGATATCACACAGTTGTGGTGAAAAATAGGTAATAGAGAAATGACTATTAAAGAAAGAGAATATTAAACTAGGAACGATTCTAGGAAACTGCTGGTGACCACGTGATGCAGAGGCGATATCCCATACGTGTATTTCATAGTTTTTAGCTCGTAGTTTGTGTTCATAATGTACTATACGTGATTATTAGGTATTATTTTTTAAGTATTAAAAGAAAAGGTAGGCTGGATAAAAATGAAAAAAGATTATTTATGAAGTGGAGAACGAAGTGAATTTTACGAGTTTAAATGTTAATAGTAATAAAAATCAAAAATCATGATTATATCATATTTAATTTTGACGAATTATTAATAAAATTTTATTTTGTTAATGTAAAAAAAATATTTCAAGGTTTTTTAATGAACTTGAAAATTTTTTTTTAATTGCGATCATTCTCAATCGGTTAAAATGATTACCGTAACGGTAATAATAATTGTATTTACGCAGAACATATCAGATATGGCACGCGTTTTTATGAGTGTTGGCCTCTGAATAATTTGATCCTGTGATAAACGCATTATGAAATAAACAATATTATTTTATAATTCTAACATCTTATATCAGCATATCGATAGGCCTATCATGTTACCAATTGTAATCTGATTTTAAAATTAAAAATCAGAGACGAATCGAAACCCGATTTGTCTCAGATTTTAATTCTACTTATTAACGGCAATAGATCATCTCTATACTCATACAGGTATTTAATGGGAAATAAGTAGAGATGCAGGCGAATTGTCCCAATGATGCCGTAACTTTGCCGTAATATGCCGTAACTATATTAAACATTTATAAAAAGTTACGGCACATTTGCTGTAACTTTTTATAATTATTTGATATAGTTATCAGTTATGGCATGTTACGGAAAAGTTATGGCATCATTGGGACGATTCGCCTGCATCTCTAGAAATAAGTGTCTAGAGATAAGTATTGATCGAAAATAAGTATCTAAAGTGTACAATACATATGTTTAATAATTACGAACATTATTTGTTAATTTTAATAATACGTATAATTAACAAATAATCTTAAATTATAATTTATATACGATCTGCCAAAAATCAAAAGTAGTGCATTTGCTAAAAAATTTGCAGCCAAAATTGCCTGTAATGGATAATACCTACCGTTACCCTAACATAGATTCTCACCCTAACCCTAACGCTAATGAAACTTCGTATTTGAATTTTGATCTGACGCAAATTTAATCTGACGCACAACATATCTATTATATTAGCATTAGTAAATAACTAATAATTTATAATAATTTAAACTCCGTACGTAACTGATTTGGATAGCAGATAACAGGCAATTTTTTTTTGTCGTACGTATGTTCAATAATGGTGTTATTGGATAGTTAATATGACCATGTGAAGTTTTTTCTGCGATATTTTGCAAAACTGATTACGTAAAAAATATCATGGCAAAAAAATTCACATCGTCATATGAAATGTCGAATAAAATAACGATAATTGTTTTGTTTTTATTTTTTTGTTTTTGTTACACAATTTGCAAAATTATAAAGTGTATCATCTCTAACTTAACGATAATGCCCAGAAGGTATTTTGCATTCTACCCTAGAAGCGACGACGAATCGGATAAGGTAGCATATTTTTAAGTAGTAGTTAAACACTTTTCCATTGGATTGCCTTTTGTGAGCGCACCCAAGCTATTTGTTTCGATACAGTGAAAAGTTGTTATCTTATGGAACAATCTGCGAGGGGGCTTCATTCGAGCTTTATAGACTATTAAGGACGGTGTGTGGTTCGTTATGATCCGCAAAAGGGACACAATCTAATTGTATCTTTGATAAACCCTTTCTTTTGGATTGCCTTTTGTGAGCTCGCCTAGCTATTTGTTTTGAAACAGTAAAGGGTTGTTATCTTGTAAGGAACAATGTTGCGGGGTGATTTCATGCAAACCTACGACAGAGAACTGGAAGCGCATCGTGGCCACAGAATTACCTGTGAACGTCCTTCTTTGATCGGCCGTTGCTTATAGTCTATAGCAAGGATGTCCACCAAAGGATATACAATCTTGATGAAGTTTCTTATTATAAGGTCTACTGATTTTGGAGAAGAAAATCGGTTATGCACCTTCCTTATTTCCTTATTAATAAGAATCTTACGTTTCACTGTTACTAATGAAAATACTACTTAATGAACATTGTTATTAATTTTCTATTTAATTCTCTTTATATATTTAGGAGAATCAAGAAAATGAAGAGGCATCATCAACAGAAAATAAAGAGTTATCATCAACAGAAAATGGAGAGTCATCATCAACTACCAGTAAGTATAGCAGTATATAAGCCTATATTAGTGCCGCCAAGAGGAAACCTGTAAGTCTGATTCTGAATTTATAATCATACGGAACTCAATCTCCTAAAATTATAATAATTCGTAATTAAAGGTACATAAACTATTGTTGTTTTGTTATAATAAAGTTCATTATATTTACAATATTTTTAATTGTGTTATTATAATAGCAAGGTTAAGTTCCATAAGGTGATAAACTCAAAATCAGGGTTACAGGTTTTTTATATAATCAGCGGAATTTATCACTTATACTGTATAAATATCACTTGTTTTTGTTTTTAACCTGTCTTACTTGTATGAATATCAAGTGCCTGTGTTGTCTATTCGAAAGAGAAAAAGTCAGGTGAATGAAAGCAATACAGAAGCTAATGACTTCGACAACATAATCACACCTTGTGCTAAGCAAAAAAAAACTTGCATAAAAGAATGTAATAGTATAACAATTGATTTTAAAAGACACCTAGCACTAGAACGTTATTGCAAGTTGATTTCTAATTTACAATTGTATCACGTGGAAGAAGTCTCACAGCATGCTCGACACTTTATTGCCATGTTAAAATGGTCAGTAGTCAATTATGAAATATTTATAGAAGCAAGCTGGAATGGCAAACATAGATCTCCAATTATTTCAATGCCACGAATAAGACTTAAATTCGTGTCTGCCTCCTTTGAACAACATTCCAATAACTGGCTTAAGTCAATGGCCACAACACTACAATCACTTAAAAATAAAGAAATAATTCATTCTTGTGAGATCTTACTTGCTATTTTTATGTGTTAGTTATTTCATAAGAAAACAGAAAGCTATTATAATATTGATGATTTGACAACAATTTTAGTGATCTTGGCTGTTATTTTGTATGAACATACACTATGCTGTAGTGTTGAAAGTAGTCCATCTGAAAGTCATATGAAAATTGAACTATAGTCGAAGAAATTTTCTTCTACCTTTGCGTTAAATAATTCAAAATTTCTCTCAACATGGGAGCTCCAACATTTAATATCCAGAAGTGCAAGTCAAGGTTCATCGAGATCTGCTTTTGCTGCAGTTATAAATAATTAGAAAGATTTGCAATTTGCATTTTTCTTAGTAGAGTTTGAAAAGGATAGTTTTGAAGTTCATAAAGATAAAGTTGTTGTCATAGCAGAGGCAGTTTATTAATTTAATAGAATTTTAAGTTTGATACACTACCAAACGGAAGAAGAAGCGAACTAAATATGCTTGCACATTGGACTAGTTAATGGGACAACCATTCATTTGAATACACTAGTACTAATATATATTTAACAAAATTCAACTATTATATATGTTTATAATAAAATATTATTATTCAATCTTCAATATATGGATGCAGAAAAGAATATAAAAAATTTATTGCGATTAATAACCTATTTGTGTAAAACAGTTTGTATGAGTAGCACATAGATCAGATCATTGCTGAACAGGCAACCAATGATGTTTAACTAAGATTTAAAAGCAGCATTACCACAACTGCCTAGTGAAGCCATCAAATCACATGAATTTATAACGAAGTTCATGCTACAAACAAAAAGACAAGTATACATTATATTCGATAAATATGAATCATTTAATTAATATGTGATGAGAATTGTTTATTATAATTCTTATTTTTAATAAAAAATTTACATGCTAGTTTTATATTTTATATAGTTTTAATTATATTAAAAAAATAATAAATAAACCTGATGAAGTATAGAAACTAAACTAATGATAAAATTAATTATTTAACACATCTATGTATATACGCACTAGTTATTCAATAAAAACTGAATTAGTATATCATAACTAGTTACTCATATGAGAAATTAGTTTAATTAGGCTGTTTGAAATTAAAACTTTGTTTAAAATTAAACAAAGTTCGAATGAACCTAATTCTGGTTTAATTAACCTAATTCAGGTTCGATAAACTTAATTCAGGTTCAATAGAACCTATTTCAGGATATACTTGTTATCTGAAATAAAACCTACTCAAAACTAGTTTTGGAAAGTACTAATCCAAAACTAGTTTCAGATTTTCAAAAAAATTTCCAAACTACGAAACCCAAAACTAATGTTGTTAGACAAAACTTAAAAGTTTTGTCATTGACAAAAGTCAAAACTAGGTTTTGTCTTTTGTCAAAATTTTTTAATATAACAAAACTGATAAAACTGACAAAAGGTGACAAAATTGAAAAAGTAATAAAACTAATAAAAAAAATAAAACTAACAAAAATAATAAAAATAAAAAAATAAAATTAATAAAAAATAATAATAAACTAAAATATATAAAATTTATATTTTTATTTTTTAAACTATAAAATAATTTATTTAATTTTTTTATAATACTTGTATATTAAATTAATATTAGTAAATTTAATAAATTGCTAATAATTTTTATATAATATATATAATATATATTAAATAATAATTATTAGCAATTCATTAAATTTATTAAAATTAATTAAATAATTTAAAATCTATTTTAAATTATTGTATATTAGAATTAAGTATTCAATTATCAAGGTTTTATTTAATTTTATTAAATATTAAATATATTAAAGTTTAATATTCTATTAATAGTTTTTAAAAATATTACAAAAATTTTAAATTTTAATTTGTAATAGTAAGGTCTAGTAATCTTAGTATAGTGGTTAGGTTACTAGACTGCTATATAAGAAGTCTGAGATTCAAATCTCACTGTCAATAAATTTGAATAATTACTCACACTATTGTATCTAACTTACAGTAAACTCTGTCTGTTTCTGGAGTTGTAACCCTGTAAATCATATTGTATTAATATTAATTGGGTATTAAAAGCATAACAGTAAAGTCAAGTGTGATGTAATATTACACAAATAAATCTAAATAGGATCTATAAGCAAAGAATCTGTATAGTAGAAATCCCAAGTTAGATGAGGTAGTATAGATTTCAAAAGTTATGCTGACTTGATGCTTAATCTAGAGGAAGTTTAGATATGAAGAATATAGACCAAGTAGATGTGAGTAAGTTCATAGTATAACAGAAAAGTCAAATATAATATAACATTGTACAAAAGGTAATACCAACTTGACTTGGTAGCTAACTAGATTTCAGAGGATCTATCTTGTGAAATATTTGAAAAAATTAGACTAATTTGGTAGAGAGCTATAAAAGAAACTAAGTTTATATAAATACTAATAAAGGTATATACTAGCTTAATTAGGATATAGCACAGTATAGTTGGAGTTATTTGCAAACTTTTACTATAATAGGATATATTAGAATACCTTGTAATAGAGTTCAGTCTTATAAAGACAATTTGAAGCGCAAGTTAGTCTGAGTGGTTCTTAAATAAGGCAGCACAAAATTAACATAGATATAAAAATATTAGGTTAAATATAGAGTTTTACTATGATACCAAAAGGTTTAAATAGAGTATCTATAAGCAAATATTAGATATAGCAATTAGTAGGTAATCTATTCTTTATATTGTCTAGCAGGCAAATTTGTCTGTCTTTATATTTTATTTTAAATAAAACTTTAAATATCAATTTTAAAAATATACTTTCTAAGTAAAATATATTTTTTAACTTTTATTTTACTAACTTTATTAAGAAAGTTTTTTAAAATTACTATAAAAGTTTTGAATAATAAATCTTTAAAGTTTTGTTTTTAAAATTTTTACTATAAAATTTTTGATCAAATTTTTTTAAAATTTATATATAAATGAAGCAAAAAATAATTTTTATTACTAATACAAGTCTAAATTTTTACAAGTAAATTACAAAAGTTGTAATAATTAAAGTTGTAATCCTTTAAAAGTTTT